GCTATGGTGTGTAAGCGTTGCTGACGTAGGCACGATATCTATACGTTTGGCTCTATCAGAGCTAGGGCTAACTGGTTTCCTTAACTATCAATAAGTATAAATCATTCTAGCCCAACTTAGTGTGACACCATTCGTAAACTCCTACTCCTACAGTAATAAAATAGATATCTGTCAGAAACAGAGTATTAATAACTAATGTTACTTCATTTCAAAGATAGCCCTTCATCACACAGAGTATAAAAAAACCTAGCTTGTGACTTATGACATATAACAATCACTCACTATCTCGTCAGCAATCACTTATTAGCAATCCTAAAAACTATGGAATCTTGACACAGGGGAACTTACGAAACCTTTTCGACTATTTCAACCATTGGCTAAACCTTTTTAGGGCAAAAAAACTTTTATCTGTCAACACGCTAATAAAAGGTTTAAACTGAGACTCAAGGTCCCGTGAGATCTGAAAAAAGTACCACAGAAACGGTACACAAAAATCTACAATCGTAAAAAACAAGTGACACACAACTTGGAAACGGGGGTTTATCCTTAGCGCTGCTTCCGTAACACCACTGTCAATTTAAAAAGCGTCCAAGACGTCAGAGGATCAATTGAGCGAGATGAAAGGGGGCGAGGATAAATAAAGGAATATCTTATATCTTATCTTATATCTTAGTCAGCCAGCAGTCGTTAGTTAACGCAAGTAGTCGACTGATCATCAAACGTTTATTACATAGAATTATTTAAATAAATAGATTGGATAATGAATAAAGCGATGATGAGCCTGAATGTGTCAGAACAACCAGCAAGTAGACTCAACATTTAGTTTCTCATCGACTCTTCTCAACTTTATTTTAACAATGTAGAAATTGAGCAAAGTATTAACTATGTGGGAATGTGCTGAAGCAAAGTGTGGTAAATTAGCTGGCCATGAGCTTACCCAGCCAACTGAGGTATACTAGATTTGTTTTGCAACAACAAATTGTTTAATTGTAAATTTTATTGTGTGTGAGGAAGAAAACTACTTGATTCAACAAAGTTCAACAAACATTCTGGCTCATGGCTTTGAATATGATGACACATCAGTATTAAACGTTTGCTTAACAGCGATCCAAAGAAATGAAAAAATGGATGTGACTGGAAATAATAAATGAATGAATGAAGAGAAACTCAAAGCAGCAGAGGGCCAAGTACACAACTGTTTTACTGATGAAGTGATTGCTGTTTACTGAATTTATCAAGGCAACACAACACGTAAACGGAAATCTTGAGTTTGTATTGGAAGTAAACAGCATTATCAGCAATTTTAAATATAAGATTTACCTTTGTTGTAAAACAGGTGAATTAAAAAAAGACCTTTTCTTCTATTTGAGACTGTTTGTTTAAAATTAGAGCCAACTCCGTTCTGCATTTAAGGTAAATAAAAAGGGATAATGTTATTGTTGTTGTTGCCAAAAATTTTTTTTTTATTTCAGATTATAAAAAAAAGTTGATTTGAAAAGTTGATTCTCTACGACGGAGGATTAAGCCAGGCACGATAAAAAAAAAAATGAGAGAAGGAAGTTTTTTTTTATTTTGCATTTCAAGAGTAAAGTTGAAATGTTGAGAATGAAATAAATAAATAAAATCATCAATGCATTTATTGTTGGCAATGCCATATGGCTTCAGCTTATTGTACAAATCCACATGCCGTAGCATGTTGGGACCTTTTTTTTGCAATAATGCCTCAGCCCCACACCTTTAGGATCAATCAGCTTGATCAATTGTCTTATTTGTCTTGTGATGCAACATATCCTCTCTGTATTGCACACAGGTGTGAGCATCAGCACACGCACACACACACGCACATAATGAATAAAGCTGTCTGTCTGTAGTCTAAGTGTTTATGTTAGTTTGCCACAAATCAAAGGGGACAGGAGGAAGGACTGATACTGACTGATGTCTGTTTAATATCAGGAATATATTTTATTTTACTGACATTGTAGATTTGTTTCCAGTGAGATATTATCGAGTTTATGTAGTGACTTTGCTGACTTTACTGTTGCTACTCTAGAAACAATATTTATATTTAATGCAAAATTCTAGTCCAGTTCATGACATTTTTCTCGTTATTGTGTGAGTATAATGCCAGTATGTATACTGGAGGTCACATATGTGTGTATATATGAAGCCGCCATGTGCTCTAATGATTCTAGTTTGATTTATTCTCTAAGGTTTGACTTTTTATCTTGAAATATCAACTTTATTCTCGACATTTCGATTTTATTTTATTTAAAATATTTTTTTTTTAAAGTCTTGTACATTTTTTTTTAAATATACTGCTGCCCTTATACTGCTTTGTCGTTCTCACCCCTAACGCTGTCACAATTTGAGGCGTTGTCATTGTCTTGCTGTATTTTGTAAGTTCGATTAGTTGATAGTAAGTAAGTTTTGCGAGAAGTGAGGTTAAAATATGGCTTCTCCTGTGATTCAAAGCCATTTGACAGGAGGCAGGCTGTTTGGTAAAAGGCATGTGAGTTATGTAACAGAAGGGCCTTGGTGAGTGTGATAATGATTCAGACTGGCCTAACCGGGCGCTTTTCTGTTGCATAACTAGTTGACACCTCTGTGTCCCTTCCATCCACGCACACACAAACACTTTATTTAATGAACTGAACTGTCTCCTACTATTACTCCTTTAAAGTTTCTCAAGCACACACTACACGTACACACAGGTACAGGCAGGGGTATCCTGCTGACTTTACACTGAGACTGGAGAAGTATGATCTAAAGTAAGCAACAGGTGGCAGAGGAAACCAGTTGACAGTAGTAAAGCAACAGAAGCACCACCTTAAACTCACTGTTCTGTGATTTTGTTCGTTTATGTGTAGAATATCTGATGCTCGTGTTTCACTGTGAATCTGCGTTCAAAAAGCACCTATGTGCCTGATGTGTATAACAGCATTATACAAGAAGATTGCAGAACTGGTACTGTATTGTGTCCTATTTTATACCCTTCCTACTATCAACAGCTTGTTTAAAGTGCAAAAGCTTCCTTGTTCACCCGCAAACTACACTTGCTTTTGTAGCATTTGTGTTTCTCTAAATTAAGACCAACTACCCCATTAATGCTGTCAGCCTTGCGGTTCGATGCCCAAGAGTTTTTCATCTAAAATCATAATCGTTAAAATACATGAAAGGTCTTCCTAAAACTGAGTCAGTATCATTTTTGATCATTGCAAACAAAATGTCTCTCTGCCAGCTTCTTAGTCACTTCTTAACTTCTTGATCAGATCCTTAGTTTTGAGATGCTCAAAACAGAATGCACAAAAGATATCTTCCCCCCACACGAAATGTCTCATTTTCAAATGCAGTCATTTTCTCATAAATGTAAGAAACTGTTTGAATGTTTTTTATTTTTTTATTTGGGCCTTAGTGTATTGAAACATTTGTAACTGATTCAAGTTTCTACTGTTGCACATGGATAAATGTGCACATTCAACAAACAAACTTTAGCTTATGCATATATAATAACAATATAGGTTTTGGTGAAATACATTGTAAATAATTTTGTATTCCACAGTGGAACAAAGTGATGGCACATGGCAAATTCATGGAAACTCATCATTCATTGAGATCTTTTAGTAAGGTGTTGTTCCACCAGAGTCTCCAGAAGAGCTTCAATGCTTCAAAATGCCATCAATAAAATGCACCTGTGTCCATAACACACGCCTGCCCATACCATAACCCCACCGCCACCATGGGCCACTCGATCCACAACGTTGACATCAGCAAACCGCTCCCTTCAGTGTAGTTTCATTCAAACAGAAAACAAGAAGAAGTGTATTTTAAAATGGATGGGAAGATATGGACAATTTTGCCACAGTTTTTGGCATTTTTACTACAAATCAATGTGACACTTTTACTTTTTTCATGAAATAAACATACCACAGTAAAATTAAAACAATCCCACTATAGTTTAAAACAGATCTTTTACACCAAATGTTCTGGCCTGCTTGACCATTTTCCCCTTACAGGTGTAAGTGTAAGAAACCTCAAAATATGTATTACAACATGTTAATGGACACTTGAAGCTGTAGAGTTGGAAAAGTAGAACTGGGCTTTATGCAAAAAGAAAGCTGTTAATGATTCGTGTCTTTGTCTGTTCTGCAGTTTTCTTCGGGTTTAAATGTCGGTGCTTCTGTGTGAGGCCTGTCCTGTTTAGTTTGGTCTTTCCTTGAACTTTCAGAAACCTCGAACAACAAAAACATCTCCTTTGCCTCCTGTCCACATTCAGGTTATCTTGACATGTCAAGCTGTTTCCTTTACGCACCACTTTACCGACAATAACCTCATACTGTACCTTTCAGCGGGGAACTATACAAATAATGACATGTCAAAACTAAAAATCCAGTTTATTCTGTAGAGCCCTAGTTAAAGTATAAAGCATGGCCATGATGGGTCTTTCATTGTCCTTTAAAGACAGTTTGTTCTCCTGTCTGTCTTTTAGTTGTCAACCATAGAAATGTCTTTAATTGAAATGAACAACAGTAAGTCTCATTTATATAAGCCACGATTGGATCAACCTGACTCATCTAAAGAAATATGAAAACCAGAAGGATGATCTCCCTCATGGCCACCTACTCATAGATGTATATTTCTATGTATTCCTCTTACGTGTGTCTGTCTTTCCCCTACAGCATTGTTTCCATATGTTACATTCATTTAAACACAATCAATGCCAGCAGGTATTACGTCATTTAACATGATGAATAGGGATGTGAAGTTTCGTCTACTCTTCTCTTAGCATCTCTGAGTATTTGCAGGCATGAGTAATGAATTTGTAAATGTGATTTTATATGCTGTTTTATTGAACCCCTTCTGCAATACATATTTTCACAATGCTTTGTTACCAGAGCTACATGGACCAAATGTTATCAGGGTACGAAAAACACTACATCACATAAGCTTGGGAGACACACATTTCACATGTCACATTTCTTTCTTCTTTCCTGTGTTTTCAGGCACGTTACAAGCAGAGTCTGGACCCCACAGTGGACGAGGTGAAGAAGCTGTGCACATCGCTGAGACGTAACGCCAAAGAGGAACGAGTTCTCTTCCACTACAACGGCCATGGGGTGCCACGGCCCACCGTCAACGGAGAGATCTGGGTCTTTAATAAGGTACCACACACACGAACAAGAAATACTTTCTTACATATACATACACTAAACACTTATATACCTGTACTGCACAACAAGGGTCCAAGGATGACTTTTTAAGGAATGACCTTTTCGCAAGATGTCACACAGGCTGTGCATCAAGAGTGATCAAGAGGAAAGCAAAGCTCACTTAAGCACTGTACTCTCATTAGATTGGTGCAGTAAAACTCCTAGCCATAAAGAGCATAAACACTGAGGTAGTCCAATTCTGTTCACATTAATAAACACCATTTGTGACAGTTACAGTTAATGAACTGTGAAGGTCATATGGAGGCAGTGTGTGTACAGAGATAGTCAAAGACATAATTTCAGTCATTTAGAAAGGAATTCATGACATATGTAATTGCTATACTTTAACAAGCCTAATTTAGGCAGCTGTAAAACTATGGAGCCATATAATAAGGATTGGATCATGATACACAGATAGTCACTGGGGCTTAGTGTCATAAAGATCTGTAGTATGTACTCCTTTCTTAAAGTACAGAAAATAATTACAAAAATAATAGGTCAACAATATTTTTAGGACAATTTCTATGTTCTGTCCGCTGACTTTACCAACTGTTCGATGGGTTATGTGGCTTTCTTAATGCAGATATATAATACACACTGGTCCTTTAACTGGGACTGATCGACTGACACGGTGTTTGAGCTCACACTATCCAAAAAAGTTTTGTTCAAACAGGAAACAAGAAGAAATGTATTTTAAATTAAAATGATAAATTAAGCCATCATCATCATTAGCAGGTCATTAATAAGTGAACATGTGATTTGATAAGCTATTTTACATACAAGACAACCCCACAAAGTCTTCATCTTTTGTAAGTTACTGTCATGTGATTGTCATGATGTTTGTACGTAGAGAAGGTGAGAAGATCTCACTTCATTCATGATTTAACAAAATAGTGATGACTTGTTGAGTTTACTACTTTTTGTGGATCTGTTCAACTTTGGCGCTTAAACTGAAAGTGGACTGATTTTCTTTAAGAGCCCAGGCTTCTTGAAAAGTGGTCAAAAGTACCAAATGACTTGACAACCAAGCGTAAAAACGTTCCACACAGCTTGTCTGCATGCTGAGATCTCAGACTCAAGCTCCACTGCGAAGCAGAGACTCAGTCACTTGCGAATCGGACATAAAATCTCAAGTTGTGCATGGGCTTGTCCTATAAGTAAGCACCCACTCACAATGATGCACCGCTGCTGTCTGGGCTTAGCTGTTGCCTCCACGTCCCCAGTACACCCTCGGGCCTTATGTCCTCTTCTCCTCCTCTGTTCTCCTTCCTTTCCCTCCACACATTACTCCTTATACTTATTTCTTTTCCTATAAAATGAAGCTGCTGTGTCACCGGCTGCTGAAACTGGAGATCAGTGGGGAATTGGTTTTGAAGCAGTGTCTGGGGAAGTTGTGTAGAACCAAATTTTCCATTAAGTAAAGGCTATAACACATTTATAGCACCACGGTTATTAGATTTATTACTGCCTCTTTCTGTGTTCCCATCAACCTCATTTTTCTGTTTCTCCGACTCTCCCCTCATTATAGTTTTCTCTTTTCAACTGTTTCTCTCCTGCTCTCCTCCGCTCACACTCCTCATCAAACAGAGTTAATAATTAAACACATATCTCTAGAAGTGAGTTATCAGCAATAACATGATGCACCGTCTCTCTCATTCGCCCGCCCTGACATCGCCTTTTCTCATCTCTCTCTCTCTCTC